CATAAAAAGGAGATGGGTGATTTTTCCGATATACCAATAAATAAAAAGAGGATTGAGAAAGCATTGGCCACACTGAAAATAAGAAAGATCCACCGAAAGCCTTGTGAGCACTTGCAGGAAAATAAGTCTCTGACGTTAATAACTTCAATAGAGAACTGCAGACTACTGACTTTGACCATATTTATCTGAGAATTAAAAGTTTCCCTATCAGTCGTAACCTAAGCAGAAATCTGTCAAAAATATATATTTATGGATTCTTCAAGATGAGTAGACTATTGTTGGACTATTGTCTGAGTTCTGCACTATATATAGAAAAATATAATAAACTGGGGTTGTGAAAAATACACGTTAAAACAGTATGAATGCAGACGATACACATGGGGTACCATAGAGCAGGATGAAAAAGAGGATGGAGAGATTTCTCTGTGCTATGATTTTGGCTGAGGGTCAACTTATAAATGTGGCCTCACTCCCCACTTCAAATATGTGTTGGGTTTAAGTCAGAAAGAGAAACCAGTTTTTCATTTTTGTTGGGAAACTTTATCAACAAGTATGGTTATAATCACCGCTACTGCACTACTCACTGGGATAAACCCTTCCAGAGCATTGCGGAGCACAGGAGAATTTATCGAGTCAAAAATTAAGCTTTGTATCGATGCTATGCAGCAAGAGATGTGTAACGGAGCACAAGGCGGGGAAAATGCCTTCAAGATTGATATATACTGAGTTCGGTGTGGTTCTGTTGGGCAGAATTCTGGAAACAACTTCCCGATTACTGAGAGCAACAAGGTGCTTTTGTTGTAGACCATACTTAAATCGTTTCCAGTAGATCAAAGAGGACGTTCTTAGTAGCGGAAAGTTCGTCTAAAAATGGTCATCGCCGCCAGATGGCTCTATAAAAATACACCTGAGACTGAATATGTCCGACTCATTATTACGTGTTTCGAAGGCACTTATACCTTAAATAAGCGACTGTGTGGTTTGTGGTATGTGGAGGGAGGAAGCGGGAGAGTGATAGCTTCCTATTTTATCCCATTCGAGCCCTCATGACGCCGCACTTTGTGCTCTGTTGGCAAAAACTCCCCAGCTCATGCGGAAACCCTGTAATTACAGTAGGAAACAGTGCCCGGCTTGTCTGGCAGCAGGTATTAAATTACGCTTGCAGTTTGAACGACAGCGAGATTCGGATTTGCCAAGTAACCCAAAGACTTTCCGGACCTCTGCAAGCTGCTTGCGCAACGAAGAAACAGGTAAATCGTGAAGATATTGACAAGACAGAGTAAAAAACACCCTCTAGAGCAGTGATTCCCAAACTGTGCGCCGCGGCCTCTTTGCAGGGGCACCGCGAAATATAATATAAAAGCTTCAATTCGAGAAAATGTGCTCATCCATCGCATTAATTATTAAATATTAATTTAATGTTAATAAAGTAAAACAGATAATTAAGATACACGAGTTTTGTTCATTTTATCTCTTACTTACGAATAGTCATACTTAGGGTAGGGCGCCATGGAAAAATTTTAGTTGAAAAAGGACGCTGCGACTGGGAAAAGTTTGGGAATCACTGCTCTAGAGCTTTTTTCAACAAGATTGACTATGCAGTAGATTAGTAAGCGACGGAACTAATCAGAAATAAGTTGTCTTGTCTTCAGTTTTCCACCATTAGGTAGTTGACTGAATGCGTTCAAAGCGACAGTAGCTTTCTGGCCTTTTTCGCTGGTATGAACATAACCAGCCCAACTGGAAATGGTGCAAAAATCGGCTTGGTGTGTCCAGAATATGGTTAATTACATCAAGCAAATTAATTCGCAATAGGACCGAGTTAGATATAATAAAGGGAAATGAATAAGTACGCAGATGGCCGAACAGAAATGCATACATACTTGCATGAAGATAAACCGAAAGGCAGAGAGAATAACCGAAAACATGAGTAATTTTTTGAAACACCATTTAACCTTTGATAATAGATATTAGCAGCCCATATAAATACCCCAAGAAGGTAAGCAATAGCATAAAGTTAATTTGATATTTAGCTAACCTGGCCCCAAATAAGCGACCCGATCCCGAAAAACAGGCACCACAGCCAATGCTCCAATTCCAAGGGATGTGTGCTCATCACGTAGCCTCCAAACTGCACAATTATTGCCTAAAGAGAAGAAAGATAAACTATTCAACAAAACGGTCTGTTGTGATCACTTTAGAATCGTGTCAAATGTTAAACAGGAAGTAGAGATAACTGAAGAAAATTGGAAGCCCTTGATTCAATTTAATTTAGATTTAAAGTGTCCTTAAGTAATGGAGTCGAAGGTCAGCCTACGGCTAGTACATTTTTGTCAGCAGAAAACATGAATGATTGTAAAATAAGCATAAATAGGGGAAGGTTTACATCAGTTATCAAAAGCCAGTGTGGCTTAAAATGAATTTAGTATATTAATCATTTAAATTATAAAAGAGATTAGGCAAGAGGGCTAGATTGTAAAGGCCTCATTAAGTGGATTTAAACTTTTTAATAAATATGCGGAGTAGAAATGTGAAGTGTGAATATACATGAGGGAAATAAAAGCAAATGATAAAAGGTGTCCGGAGCTAGATTGTCTGCCCCTTTGGGTTGACTGAATATGCAGTTGCTGGTAATGGCTTGCGACAAGATGGAGCGAGATAGACCAATCTGGTCATAAGTCTCCTAGTAGAAAGTTAAGAAATTATGCATTCTTAAAAAGTGTGGATTCAAGATGGCCCATTCAATCAGCTTTTATGCGATTAGAAGAAAAAGATTAACTCCTAGATAAGCCAGACGACTACTTGAATAAAGCTTTAGGCGAGGTAAATGAAACTGGAGATTTTTTCAAATACAGAGACAGATTAATCTAGTCTGGAGGATGGCTTCAGACACCGATTCAGTTATGCGCAATCAAGAGAAGCAAATATATCTCACGAGTGTGACGCACAAGGCTTTGGGGGCATGTGAAAGTTACCATAATATTACAACTTTATGGGCTTTTCCAGAATCTGGGTCGGTACTCCATTAATCGAACACACAATATGAAATCCGGTGTAGCAGAGTTGTCAGAAGTTAGCACAGGTAAAAGCCTAGACTTGAGTATGTGTATTACAAGTTGAGCGATTTCAAAAAAAGGAATATGCAAGAAATCTAATGTAGAGTAAAGAGAAAGAAAATATGAAATACAAAATAAAATTTAGAAAAATAAAGAAATGATCTAGCCAAAAATGAGAAAAAATAAAGGCAAAGAAAGAGCATAATAGGGAGCAAGCAAAGTGTTTAACGGCAGAAAGCAGATCCTCAACAGCCCGCATCAACCACACGCAAGCCCACACCCATATATATATATACATTCATATATATATATATATATATATATATATAGAAGGAATAAAA